AGGTAGTAGGTAGTAGTAGGTAGTAGTAGTATTAATAGTAGTAGTAGTAGGTAGTAGGTAGTAGGTAGTAGTAGTCGTAGCAGTAGCAGTAGGAGGAGTAGCAGTAGCAGTAGCAGTAGCAGTAGCAGTAGCAGGAGTAGGAGTAGGAGTAGGAGTAGGAGTAGTAGTAGTAGTAGTAGTAGTAGTAGTAGTCGTAGTCGTAGTAGTAGGTGGTAGGTGGTAGGTGGTAGGTAGTAGTAGTAGTAGTAGTAGGTGGTAGTAGAAGTAGTAATAGTAGTAGTAGTAGTAGGAGGAGTAGCAGGTAGCAGGTAGCAGGTAGGAGGTAGGAGGTAGGAGGTAGGTAGGGAGGTAGGCAGGCAGGCAGGCAGGGAGGCAGGTAGGTAGGTAGGTAGGTAGATAGTAGGAGTAGCAGTAGCAATAGCAGCAGTATCAGCAGCAGCAGTAGTGGTAGTAGTAGTCACAGATTACTGATGGGGGCCCTTGTGAGGGGTACCCTTTGTGAGATTGTCAAAGGATTGTGTCTTGTTGCTTTTTAATAAGGCAATTTATAGGGCCTGAGGCCTAGATTTTTGGATTTCATCAAAAGTAGTAGGTAGTAGGTGGTAGGTGGTGGCCGTCGTCGTCGTAGTAGCAGCAGCAGAAGCAATAGCTAGCAGCAGCAGTAGTAGAAGTCGCAGTCGCAGTAGCAGTCGTAGTAGTCGTAGTAGTCGCAGTAGTCGTAGAAGCTGTAGTAGTAGTAGTAGCAGCAGGAGTAGTAGTAGTAGTAGTAGTAGGAGTAGCAGTAGCAGTAGCAGCAGTAGCAGTAGCAGTAGCAGGAGCAGGAGTAGGAGGAGCAGCAGCAGCAGCAGCAGGAGCAGGAGCAGGAGCAGGAGCAGTAGTAGTAGTAGTAGTAGTAGTAGTAGTAGTAGTAGTAACAATACGAAAAATTGACCTGGCTACACAACTAGACCATTAGGAGGGAAATAAGCCACCAATACTACTTTTAATTTTGGCAATTTCCGGTGGTTTTGTGGGCTCGGATTAACTATGGGAGGTTCATTCATCGTGACTTTACATTAGTAATGGCCTCCAACCTACTAGCGATGGGCCTCCACCCCAGTAGCACACAATATCACACGTGCAAACATGTATGCAGGATGCCACAACTCCTCTCCAAGTCTGCAGTTCACACAACATCAACCCCTCTCTCGCTAAGTGAATATATCCATCGCTTGTTGGGTTGTTCTGAGTGGCCCTCAGTACGCTGGCTTTGTGTCTTGAGCCCACAACTTTCGCACCTCCCATACCTTTTGGTCAAATTGCCAGCATCCTCACGTGGAGAATCTACTCCACGGCGTCTGCGTCCGGCTTGCCGTCGGCCTTTAGTGCAACTCAATGCAACTCTTCTCTTGTTCACCATGCTTGATTCTTTCAAGGACATGTTGCCAAGGGGCGGCTAGGCGTAGCGGGAGAGACTGGCGACGCTACGTGAGAATCTTTTCCAAAAGGCCTCAGCGGAGAAGAGTCATGGACAGTCGCTGTTGATTTCGCTCTCATCCAGGCCAAGGATTTCTGCCCATCAAAAACACGCACAGAGCTGATAAATCAGAATGCAGAGTGTATATAAATAATTGATAATAACTGTGTAATATATATTACAGGAAATGGTTTTCAATGGCCAAATGAAATAGGGAGTGCCACTTGGGATAGATGCCCAATTGCACATCAGAACTTCCAAGAAACGCAGAACAAGTCATGTCCTTTGCACCTTTCACACTTGCCAAAAGCAAACGGAAGCTCGCTTGTGCCCGGACCTGGCTGAAAGCCATAGGTCTTGATCATCGCTATCATCGTCATCGCGGACATCACACCAGTTCTGCCGGAACCGAGGCTGTTCGAAGGCGACTGTCCACTATCCCATCGCCCCAACGAGCCAGCCCAATGCAGTTCTGGGCGGTTGGTTTGGTTTAACTCTACGGCATGCTCTACCCGTGCATAGGAGCCACATGTCTAGCCCTTCTCGGGCTTTCTGAATGCTATCCTTTTCCGTGCCTCGCGCTTGGCAGTTGCAAATGCCTGCCACTTGAGGGCAACAAATCGGTAGTCTGCAACTGAGTGTGCGCAAGATTCGAGATGGCCACAGATTAGCTATGCAACCCCGGACTTATCAAGTCCTGGTCAGCCTCACGTGCTTTGCACATGTCTTGGCAACGGAAGCGCGCACATTGGGATTTCCACATGACTGCATGACAAGCTGTGCATGGCTATGCTAACTATACACCTCAATCAGCTTTTAGGTAACATTTCACCCGCCATTGATCAAGCTTCACATCCAACATCTCTCACCCGATTCAGAATCGATGACAAGGACTCGGTGAGCCTCCAGGCCCTTGAATTCAGACTTGCCCTGCCGCGACCTTCAAGAGTGACCACAGGTAGTGTTACTGAAAGCCTTTCAGGAGCTATCCTGCATTGCTCTCCTGACATCTGCTATATCACATCAAAACATCAATTCTATCCGGACAAAACAAATCCTGCTATTTTTACATAATTGTGACTGGCCAGAACTTCCATGAACGATGTTTCGACCACCCTTGCACGGCCTCTGTAAATCTGAGTCATGCGTGGACCCATCTGAAAGGCCGTCGGACGGCACCTAACAAGCTGTGACTGGTCATAGTGAGCCGTCTGGAAATGCCCGCTTCTAGTGTGAAAAACCAGTGACATCAACAAAGAATGCACAGAAGAAGGTCAGCAAGTCCTAGATGCCTGCTTGTTTGTGACGCACATATGTGACTCCTGCTGCAAATGCACGATGCTGGTTAGCTGGTTGCCATGAATGTAATATTTGCATGCTGGCCAAATCTGTGGCACAGGACCACCACCCCAAAAAGAACCAACTCCTAAGTTTTGACGACGCAAAGCCAGGCATGCCTTCGTATCTGAGCTTCTTCGAGACTGCCTGTGGCACATTGGAGCATCTGAGAAATTTTAGTGGAGAAACGAACCAGGCGTTGAGCACTAGGTGTTGAGCATTACTGATATATTTGGAGCTGGCATGCTTGGCATGCTGGACTCTAGCGATGGTGCTCAGTGCCTACCAGGCTCATCTCCATGACTCACCATGGCCTGCCACGAGCGCCCAGCGTCAAGTCGCACAAATGCGTGGACCCTTTTGCTTTCAACTTGAAGTCGGGAAATCAGCAACCCAGTCTCACCAAAAACCATTCAAAAGCACGTGGAACATCGCCGGCGCCTGTGCACTCTCCAAAGTGCAAGTAGTTGCAGCCGTTTCGATCCAAGCTGCTGCAAAATAAGTGAAGCATGTGGTAGCTTTAGAATATCAACACTTCCTTGAAACCGGTGTTCCCGACGACGAACACCAAAGATCCAAAATATGTTGACCAATCAATCCACTAAGAGCTCATGGAATGAATAGGCTCAAACAAATGGATAAAGCAGCCGGCAGCATTTTTCACCAAAACATACCCAAAACAGCCCAAAACAATGTCTTGCCCAGTCACATGGGTACAACTCTTAGCTCAAAGAGCTAGCAGCTAATTTCTTCCCCTCCCAAACTGCAAATCGATGCGGTCTGGAGATCCGGTATATCACCGGCAAGGCCTGTAGACCAATCCTGGAACGCTGCGGAGTGGAAGGAATGCAGGTTGCGGGACCCCCCGTGTGGCAAATGGGCAAGCATGAGTACTTTATAACTGGGCGAAGTACTTCCAAAAATCATCTCATAAGCGCCCGATGCGTGTCTTTTCTGCGCTTCTGATTCTCGGCTGCAGATTGACGCGGACCCCGAAGATTTCCTATACGGGGAAAAAAAGGATTTTTGTGGCTGGCAAAGCACGGTTGAAGCGATGAAAGCTACAACAAATTATGACAAACCGACCATATAGTGGCGTTTCCATGGCTTGCAATGGCTTGCATCAAGTTTTGCAAACTCTTCTTCCAGCCACTGAAAGGCTAAACTGTTTCTCTATTATGACTGGTGCGCGAAGCCGGTCTGCTAAGCAGCGAAACATCTACTGCCCGCAGCCACAGCTGCACTTAAGCTTGGCTGTTGGTCCCATGACACACTTCAACTGAATTGGATGCGTCCAACCCAAGTGAGTGTAGATGGAGGAGCCCCAGTAGAGAGGTTGCTGAAACTCCAGTATGTATGGAGGTGGGGGGTGGGTGGGTAACATTTTTGATGGATGGCTTGAAACGGAAACACCTAGAAAAGGAGCCACTGCAAATGCGGTTGCTTCTTTTGAGCGCTTCCATGCAAAAAGCACGACCATCTACAGCCAAACTTGGTTGAAAAGGTTGCAGCAGCGTATCGAATTCAAGCAACCATTCTTGGAAGTTCCCTCGATGACTCGATATGCTCCTTTTGGCAGGATGTCAGCATCGGCAGCATCTGTGCCCATCTCTATGCTGCGCTGTGGTACCATCTTGCTATGCTAAGAAGGGTGAGATGCGTGATCCTGGCAGTCCGGCATCAAAAGGGGACCACGCCCAAAGCAAGGCTCCAGTGTAGGTTCTTGTCGAAATCTTCTGCAAAAGCAGTTGCATTGAAACACTAGCACCAGGTCTCAAGCAAAAACTTCCTGCTCAAAGCATCCAATGAGCGAAATGGAAACCACATCAGTTGCAAGCACATGTATCCTGGCGAACGAATTGTCACATGCCACATGCACGTATATATATATATATGATTATATATGTATGCATATGTGTACATATGTACAATGTAGATACAATGACTCATATGTACACATATATATAATTGTATATATATATATATTTATAATCATACAACTTAGTAAAAAGCTCCGAGCTACAAAACCACAACACAAGGCCAAGTCAAGTGAAACAAAGGCTGGTTATGGTCATGGGGATCATCTGGGTGCACTTGCGTTGGTACCCTACTCCACGTAAAAATATTTGCCCAATGTTGATATGGTGCTGTTCCAAGAAGGGCACCAAATAGCTCTGTAATTTGTGTATGCACACATGCCAAACCAGCATAGATAAGCATTCTACAACAATACTGTCCATCTGTGATACTGACCCCCCAAAAGGTCCCTGCACAGATCTTCGAAGACATATGGGAGTTGCTACGATACTGTCAAGAGTCAAAAGCATACTTAACCCTGGCTTCCAGCTTTTGGGCGGCTTGGGTCTGCCCGCTTCCGCGCCATTTCTTGGCTTCGGAGCATTCCAATGCTTTGGCTTCGATGGAATGTCCTGCCATGTCGCCGTCCCAGAACTTCACTCAAATCTGACAATTAATTCTCCTGGTTTTCAGCGGTATCTCAAATTGAATGCTGCTGTGGGCAAAGCTCTGACTGGCTTTGAAGCTTTGCAACCATTTGTAACCATTTGAAACCGTTGCGGTCAAAGACGTTGCACGAAACACTTTGCACTGTGCACTGACAACTTGAGCTTATCCGGGATCGGCTTTCGAAGCGCTTCATTCCTGTGCAGGCTTCAAATACGGGTAAACAGTTCTGGTTGCAGTTCAGCACAATTTTTGTGCTAAAAAAATATACGCAGTCAGGTGCTGGCATCATAAGGATGTCTTGTGCCCCAAAGAAATGCGTCGGTGAGCAGGCTCAAGGTTTTTGCTCATGCTCGTCAGCAACAAGCTTTGCTTCAATGTGGAATCGAGAGAGATGAAGAGAGAGTGAGAGAGAGAGAGAGAGAGCAATCGAGCGAACAATACACGTGACATGCTGGGCTCTAGTCTCAATACGCATGGTAAACACTGACCCTTCAAGACTTCAAACTTCAATCACTGCAAACTTGTTTGAATGATGAAAGAAGGAAGTTATCGATTGATCGGATCTGAGCATCAGTCCAACTGGCGGTGTCTGTTGACTGCTCCTTGTCTTGCTCAAGCCGAACGCGGAAATGGAATCTAGAATCTAGAAGATCGGATATGTTATTACTTGTTTCCAAGCCGTCCACTCACCGACACGACAACAACCGTGCCGTTTGCTGTCGGTTTGAGATTGGCGGAGAGGATTGATACTCTCCTTGCCATGAATTGATGGCGAGTTCCTGCTCGTGAAGGATTGTCAAAAAGGCTGAGTTGGATGGTTTGCTGCATTGACCACTTGGTCACTTGGTCATTTTTTCTCCTTTAACCCCTTGTTGAGGGGCACATTTTCCTTGGTGTGACACATGCGCGCACAATCTCTTAACATCAACCCAGGATGCTGGAATCATGGCACTTGTCGCTGGTGTAGCTGGAACTGCCACAAAACCGCGGGCCCGTCTTGGGCTGGAAGGTTGGCCGTGCCCTGGGATTTCAGCTGCGGCCGGCCGCAGTGAAGTCTGTTTTGGACCCAGTTTCCCCAGAGTAGAAACAATAAGCGTAACAAGTGCATCGCTTCTAGTAACAAGTGCCTTACTAGTAGTAAAAAGGACGCTACTAGGACCTCATTGTCTTGACCAGGCTTTTGAGACAAGCCTCTTGTTGTCGAGGTGCCCAGGTCCGGTTATGAAAAATAACCAAGTTGCAGTTTCAATCACGGTTGTCATGTAAGTTCCCGGAGGTTCAACCTATTCTGACATAAGAATGAACATACAGAGCCAGAAACTGACCTGTTGACCGTGTTTGAGAGCCTTATTGGAGCGTTGAAATCCTCAAGGCAAGAATGCCTCAGCAAATTTAGCAAGATTGTACACGGATCACAACACCTCAAGCCTGGCAAAGAAGGGGACATCGGTTGGCACGCGACATTGACATGAGCTGCATCAAGGATCTAATTACGCAAACTATGGAATAGTCAAACATACAAAACACATAATCACACATTTAAATATCATATCGTATTACCAATCCTTCCAAGACAATGTAACATATCCATGGTGTGAGCCATGTCTTGGTTCTTCACGCGGATGATACCAGAACGACCACATGAGGACTCTGACAGAAAGCCGCTCCACCTTTCAGTCTTCATAGCTGTCTGGTGCGGCGGCTTGTAAACGTGCCTTGGTTGTAGCCAAATGCACACACACAAGCACGCAATAGCACACAAACATACCGCACAAACCTCAGGGCAGTCGTCGTACCCAACACAGGCGAAGAGGATGAAAAGTTCGAAGGCTTCTATTCAATGTCTTGAGCATATCCCTGATGCGGTGCGGTGAGCAGGGTTGTTAGTTAATCCTGCCCATGCCCCCATGTATATAGCCCCTCCGCCTGGTGGATCTGAATGCAAATCCCAGAGGGCACGCAACCCCAAATGACAGTGTTGAACACCAATCGTTTCAACATTCGTTAATATGTTTTCCTAGTCTTTTCTACCTCTCACACTCGCATCCACAAGTGAAATGTTGAAAACAGCTGCGCTTTGGTGCAACAAAGTGCTTCTATAACTTACTGTATATGGGCACAAATGGCCTAGTTAACGCATCCATGTGTCAAACCCAAAAACGCAAAGAGCATGTGAGCCCAGCCCACGGAGGACCTTCTTGCTGCTTTTAGACAATATGCATTTCTAGAGGCAGCTACTCTGACTCTGTCGCCAAGCGTTGTGTGTATGCACTGCATGGGTGCCTCTCCGGTGTTGTGTCACGGTGCTCCGCCGGTGCTTTGTCTTCGAAGCAACTCTCTCGCTGTTCTCTGTGCTGGAGCGGTTTGCATTTCTGGTCTTGCTACTAGGGGCTCCTGGCCTTACTACTAGGAACAAGGACGCAGTAGGGGGATGACCTTGGCATCTCTGGTGCACTCGGGCTCCGCAAAATATCACTAGTGGGCCAGGGGTTGTCTATCTCTCTCTCTCTCTATAGTTTTGTTGCGGCCCAAGGTTTTCTTGGCTGTTGGATTTTTGGTTTGCTGACCTCTCTCGGTCTTGTTGCAATATGATTTCTATTATCTCTTCTATCTACTGGCTCTGGGGTAAGGTAAGGGGTTCATTGCTCTGTGGTGTTGCTGCAGTTCCAGTCTCAGTCCTGTAGTGCTGAGGTACATTCGGTGGTCCTTTCCAGTTCGTGCTGAAGTGGAAGCGCCACAATGAAGATATATTTCTTCTACAGCTCATTTAGTCGCTATCTTTGGTGAGCTTTTGCGCCTCGCAGTCATATCTTCTTGTCCCGTAAACGCTGGCTGCGCCGAGAAA